AGTTCACCGTTCCTGCAAACAGAGAAGACATAACAGCTCATGCAAGGCAAGAGAAGCAACTAAACTCCTTGTGCAAACTCGGACCCCCAGAGGTATGCCTATCATGTGACAAGAACTGGAAAAACCTTTCTCATCAGTGCAGGAGAGGAGGAAAAAAAACCTGCCATCCACAGGGCTGTAGATGAAGGGAAAAGACATCTATGAGAAAGTAAAACCATAGACTCATGCCATTTGTGGTGAGGAGCCTGAATTCATACAGTTTATATGTAAAGCAGGTACTCCAAGCCAATATATATAGACAATACATTATTTTAAAAAATTAGAAAGATTTCAAATAAACAATCTAATAGTACATCTCAATGAACTAGAAAAGCAAGAACAAACCAAACCCAAAATTAATAAAAGGAAAGAAATAATAAAGATCAAAGCAGAAATAAATGAAATAGAGACTTAAAAACAATACAAAAGATCACCAATATGAAGAGTTGGTTTTTCAAAAAGATAAAATTGATGAATTACTAGCTACACTAACCAAGCAAAGAAGAGAGAAGGTCCAAATAAAATTAGAAATAAAAAAGACACATTACAACTTATACCACAGAAATACAAAAGATCATCAGAAACTATTATGAACAACTACACGCCAAAAAATTGGAAAACCTAAAGGAAATGAATAAATTAATGGACACACACACAACAAAGATTGAATCAGGAAGAAATAGAAAAGTTGAACAAAGCAATAACTTGTAATGAGATTGAATCAGTAATCGAGTCTCTCAACAACGAAAAGCCCAGGACTGGAAGGCTTCACTGTCAAGTTCTACCAAACTTACAAAGAAGAACAAACAACAATTATTCCAATTATTCCAGCTATTCCAAAAAATTGAAGAGGCAGAAATTCCTCCTAACTCATGCTACAAGGACAGCATTATCCTGATACCCAAACCAGACAAATATACACATACAAAAAAGAAAACTACTGGCCAATATCCCTGATGAAAATAAATGCAGAAAAAATCCTCAACAAAATATTAGCAAATCAAATCCAGCAACACATGACAGTATACAATGATCAAGTGGGATTTATTCCAGGGTTGCAAGGGATGGTTCAAATATGCAAATCAATAAACGATACATCACATCAACAAAATAAAGGACAAAAACCACATGATTATCTCAATAGATGCAAATAAAGCATTTGACAAATTTCAACATCCCTCAACAAACTAGGCATAGAAGGAACATACCTCAAAATAATAAAGCCTATATACAGCAAATCCACAGCTAACATCATACAGAATGAGGAAAAGTTGAAAGCCTTTCTTCTTAGAACTGGAACAAGACAAGGCTGTCCACTTTCACCTTTCGACATAATACTGGAAGTCATAGCCAAAACAATCAGATAAGAGAAAAATAAAAGGCTTCCAAGTTGGAAAAGAAGTCAAATTGCTGCTCATTGAAGATGACATTATTTTACACCTAGAAAAACCTAAAGACTCCACCAGAAATCCTCTCAGATCTGATAAATAAATTCAGTAAAGTTGCAGGATACAAAAACAACTTACAGAAATCCATAGCATTTCTATATACCATTAATGAACTATCTGAGAAAGAAATGGAAAAGGCAATTTCACTTGAAATCATTATGAAAAACCAAAATACCTAGGAATAAATTTAATCAAGGAAGTGAAAGACCTGTACAAGGAAAACTACAAAATATGTATGAAGAAATTGAAGATATACAAACAAATGGCAAAACATCCTATGTTCATGGATCAGAATAATTAACATTATTAAAATGACCATAATACCCAAAGAAATCTGCAGATTCAATCCTATTCCTATCAAAATATCAACAGCATCTTTCCCAGAATTAGATAAAATAATCCTAAAATTCCTATGGAACCAAAAGAGAGCCCAAATAGCCAAAACAATTTGAGCAAAAAGAATAAAACAGGAGGCATTACATTACCTGACTTCAAAATATATTACAGAGCTATAGTAACAAAAACAGCATGGTATTGATATAAAAACAGACCTATAAGCCAATGGAACAGAATAGATAACCCAGAAATAAATCCACGTATTTACAGCTAAACTGATTTTCAACAAAGGCATAAAGAACATACATTAGGGAAAAGACACCCTCTTCAATAAAGGGTGTTAGAAAAACTGGATATCCTTATGCAGAAGAATGCAACTGAACTCCTATCTTTCACTATACAGAAAAAACAACTCAAGATTAAAGGCTTAAATGTAAGACTCAAAACTATAAATCTACTAGAAAAAAACATAGAGGAAACTCTTTAGGACATTGGTCTAGGCAAAGATGTGGCTAAGATCTCAAAAGCACAGGGAATGAAAACAAAAATATAGTAATGAGGCTATATTAAACTAAAAAGCTTCTGCACTACAAGGGAAGCAATCATCAGAGTGAAGACAGAACCTGTTGTATTGGAGAAAATGTCTGCAAACTATTCATCTGGAAAGGGATTATTATCCAGAATATATAAGAAACTCAAACAACTCAACAGTTAAAAAAAAATAGTAATAACCGCATTAAAAAGTTGGCAAAGGACATGAATAGACTTTTCTCAAAAGAAGACACAAAAATAGCCAACCAGTATACAAACAAAAAATAAATGCTCAACATCACTAATCATCAGGGAAATACAAATCAAAACCACAGTGAAATATCATCACCACCCTCCTTAAACTAGGATACCGTAGGAATTAGGATTAAATATAAATCAACCAATATCCAAATGGACTGTAGCCCAGTTTTGAGTCATCTGGATGTTTCAGAAAAATCTCAAACTCTGATATTGTATGAAGATGATCCCGGGTTGGTGCAAATAGGAGTTAGCGAGAATTAAATTTTAAAATCTTCTATAGGGGAAGATATTATCTTAGGCCTCGAATTGATTCTACAGATAATTTTTGAATACAATGTCCAGCACACAATTAAAATAAACCAGGAACTCTAGGAGACAAGACAAAATGCGCAGAAACAAGCAGAAATTACATAGGTTCTCCGAACAGTGGAATTCTCAAACACAGACTGTAAAATACCCATCTTTACTACAATGAAGGAGACAAAGCCAAACCTAAAAAACTTGGGAAGAAGCTGAAAGTGGCAAAGCAGATTGGAAAAAAGAACAAACTAAAATTCTAGAATTGAAAAATAAATAACTGGAATAAACAACCAAATTGCTGGCTTTTGTTCTCAGTTACAAGACGGCTGAAAAGAAAATTCATAGACTTGATTAAAGGTAAAAATGAATGAATGCACACAAACATACATGTATACATACAACCCCAAAAGAGGCATGGAAGAAGAAAAAAGAGAAAAGTACAGAAAAGAGACACATACAGTACAATGAGAAGGTCTAACATATATTTAGCTGGAGTCCCTGAAAATGAGAAAATGGAACGGAAGAAATATGTGAAGAGACAATGGCTCCAACTATTCCAAAAACTGACGAAGGACTTTCATGCAGAGTTTCAAGAATCTCAACAAATCTCAAGAGAAGTAAATTTAAAAGAAAAAAAAAAACTATGTATAAGCATCTTACAGTAAAACTACAGAAAGAAGAGATAAAGGAGTCTTGAAAACAGAATAGTAACAGAAAACAACTATTCATACAAAACTTTTAGCAAAGTTAAAACAGTTAAATTTCTAATTAATAAAAATACTACAGTGAATAGCGAATTTTTGCCTTTTAAGAAGTGTACGAAGCTTATGGAAAACCAGAAAATAAGTCCTTCTAAGACAGGACAGGTAATCACATAGAGCCAAGAGGGTGAATAATGGCATCCTGTGCAGTCCTGCCTTCCTCCATAGTTTGCTGGGTTCAGCTGTGTTGGTGAATTCAGTGGTCCTCGTCCAGTGGTGCAAAACTCTCAAGTGCTGGGGGAAATTATTTACAACCCGTAATGTAACTGATATCATTCCTCTATTAACCAATGATGTATAAAGTAATTCTCATCAAAGAAATATATATCATAGAACATACTGTACACGTGGAGAGAATTAAAATCCACAGTAGCGTATGTTGGGAGAAGAATTAGTGGCAAAGGGTTTTTTAAATCCTTTACTGTTCAAAAGCAGGGTCAAAATATCAACTACAATTGAATTTTAAGAAAGTAAGACGCTGTAATCGCAAGGGTATTGCGATTGTTAGGTTGGGTTAATTGCTGTAATAAACAACCCCTCAAATCTCAGTAGTTACGGAATAAATGTTTCCTTCTTGCCTCGGTCGCCAACTAATGTAGATGATTGGGGCTCTACTCAGGGGTCCAGGTTTCTCCCACGTTTTGGGTCTGTCTCCCTGGGAGCCTCAGGTCCTCCCTGGGGTCCTGTATCTGGCTACCGATAAGGAAAGGGCGACAGCAGGTGTGGAGACTTTTCAGGGACCACGCCTATAAGTGGTGGATGTCTTTTATGACCGAATTCCAATGAGCAGAACTGAGCAAATAGAAGGGAATCGGACGAACTCACAGTTTTGTCTCCACCAAGTAGCCTAACTGGTGACAGAACGGACAGGTAGAAGGGAGTTGGGGAAGAGGAATGAAGAACAAATACACCCAATCAATCAAAAACAGACAAGAAAATAGAAGAAATGCAAGGGTTTCCAATCCATATTACACCCTTGTCACTCTTGGGATCTTTACTTGGCCTCCCTAAGCCTCGGTTTTATTAACAGAAAACATAAAATACTTCCCAGGGATGGTAAACTAATTCAGCCAGATAACGCAGGGCAAGTGCTTAGCACGCCTGCTGACGCGAAAGGACAGTGCCTGGATGCTGCTGTTTATCACTAACACGTGCCACACCAGGTCGAACGTACGCGTTTGCGGACCTGGCGCTGAGGCTCACGTGAGCGACTTGGGGCACGGAGGACCCCGGAGCACCACCGCCCCGGCCAGGCCCGGCCCCGCCCCGCGCGTAGCCACGCCCACGTCCCGCGCGTAGCCACGCCCACACGCCGGGCGAAGGCGAGGTTGCGTAGCAACGTGTGTTGCTCCCTAGCCCGGGCTGCGGCGGCGGAGGACTGGCGATGCCCAAGAACTCGGTGGTCATCCTGCGCTACGGGCCCTACAGCGCGGCGGGCCTGTCAGTGGAGCACCACACCTTCCGCCTGCAGGGCCTGCAAGGTGGGCCTCCCCGCCGCGTGCGCGCCTGCGCGTCCCAGCCTCCGGGCATTCGTGCCGGTGGTGCCCTGTGCCTAGGCCTGCCTTCCTCAGACCGCGACCAAGCGCCACCTCCCCAGGAAGTCTTCCCACAGCTCCCAGTCCGCTGGATGACGTAAAATCCATCCTTCGGCTTTCAGGGCTTGGATAAAAGAGTGGGAACGCTGTTCTATTCAGGAGTGAGCTGCTGGCCCACCCAGTGCCCAGCACATGACACAAATTACCTCCATAGAAAAAATTACATAACTCTGCCTTAAGAATTGGGAAACTGAGGATCAGGAATATTAAGTGACTTTCACAAGTCAAATAGCTGGGAAGTAGCGGTGCCGGGCTTCCATTTCTTAATCATTCATGCAACAGACTTTTACTAAGCACCCAGTGTGTGTTGGACACCCTTCCAGGGACTGAAGACACACTGTTGAACAGTGATGAATGTCCTTGAAGTAATCTCCTTGTTAACTGCTAAATGACAGTTATGCCCAAGCTCTGACTGGGGCTAGGTGGTGCCTTGGGAACTAACCATAGTAGGACCTGGGACTAGCCGTAATGGGAGGGTAGAGGGAACGGTCTGGAAAGGCTTATCTAAGTGGAGCCTTCAATGAGCCCACATTTGAGCAGAGCTTTAAAGAATGAGTAAAAACTAACCAAGTTAAGAGAGGAAAGCTTTACAGGCAGAGGGACTAATAATATGGGCAATGGCTGGAGGCATTCAACAAATGATGTATTAATATTTGTTGAACTGATGGAGGATGTGACTGGAGAGGTATTCAGGGGCCAGATCCTGCAGGACCACAGACAGGTTTTAGGTGGGGGATGAAGTTGTTGCTGCTCTGAGGAGAGCAGATTAGAAGGGACCAAGAGTGGAAACAAGGAAGACAAGTCTGTTTGGGTGGCCCAGGGCTGAGATGAGAGTAGCTCGGACCATAAAGGAGACCATGGATCAAAGTGAAAGCAATGGTACTTCCTGAGACGATGGATGTGGGAGGCAAAGGTAAAAAGAATGTCATCCAGATCCAGTCAGTGTCTGGCTTGAAACAGTGCTGGTGGATGGACATGCTGTCCACTAAAATTGAATACACCAAAGATGGGCCACAATTTGGAGGAATATGTGGAACAGTTCCAAAGGAACAGTCTATTTTGCACATACATATGGTACCCGACTTAGACTTTCTGACTTTGGGATGGGTTTATTGGGAGGTAACCCCATCATAAGTAGAGGCACATCTGAACTTACAATGGTTCCACTTGCCATTTTTCCACTTTATGGTGGCCTTACCCAGGTATTAAGCCCACCTTCCATTTACAGTGAGCTTATTGGGACCTAGCCCCATCGTAAGTCAAGGAGCATCTAAATTAAGCTTCATGTGCTTTCAGCTACCTAGATGGAGGTGCTGAATCAGCTCTGTTGTTCTGGAGTTCAGAGAAAAAGTCTAAGATGGAGATAAAAAGACCTGAGTCACTGACTTGGAGAGAACATATAGAATGAGATGAGAGCCCAGGAATGAGCATTGATGAACTCCCATCATGTGACCCAAACTAAGAATCTTCCAGGCAAAATACCCTGGAAGTCCAAGGATGCAAAAATTAGTTTTAGCTGAGCAATCAGGGAAGGCCTCCTGGAGGAGATGGCATTTCAATTAGCAGAGGAAGTTGCTTTCTGTGAGAGAACAGTTGATAGAGAAATTTCTGTTGCAAATACCTCCATGTTTGTATTAGTCTATTGGGACTGCCATAACAGAATACCATAGACCATGGGACTTAAACAATAAAAACATATTTTTCCAGTCTAAAGGCTAAAATTCCCTGATCAAGATCTGGCAAGGTCAGCTTTTGGTGAGAGCTCTGGGCTCTCTTCCTTGCTTGCTGACAGCCACCTTCTCTCTTGTCCTCGCGTAGTGGGATTGTATGGGGAGAGACGGGAGTGAGCAAGCTCTCTGCTGTTCTTCTTAGAAGAAGAAAGACACTAATCCTATCAGATTAGTACCTCACCCTTATGATCTCATTTAACCTTAATTACCTCTTTAAGGACCTATCTCCAAATACACATTGGGAGTTAGAGCTTCCATATATGAAGTTGGGGGAAGCGGGGCAGCAATTCAATCCATAGCAGTGTTGCATGGTGAAGTTTAAAATGTTTTGTAGTTTTTGTAATCCCAGCTACTCAGGAGGCTGAGGCAGGAGAATTGCCTGAACCCAGGAGGCGGAGGTTGCGGTGAGCCAAGATCGCGCCATTGCACTCCAGCCTGGGTAACAAGAGCGAAACTCTGTCTCAAAAAAAAAAAAAAAATGTTTTATAGTTTTGGCTAAGGACAGAGCCTAAGTAAGTGATTTTTCTCTTCCTCCCCTTCTGATAAGCCACACCTACCCACCCTCACCTCATAATCCACGTTTCGTTTATGTTCACTTTCTCTAAAAATAATATGGATCAAATATATATTTTAAAATTTGCCATTTTAACCATGTTAAGCGTACAATTCAATGACATTAATTACCTTTACAATGTTGTGGAGCCATCACTGTTCTCCTATTTTTTAAATTTTTCAGCACCTCAAACAGAAACTGTATTCATTAAGCAATAACTCTCTATCTCCCCCGCACCCCCACCCAGCCCCTGGTGACTTCTACTTTGCTTTGCAGCTTATTTCACTCAGCATAATATTTGAAGGCTTATTTATGCTACAGCATGTATTGTAGTACTTTATTCCTTTTTGTGGCTGAATAAGTTCTACTTTATGGATATGCCATATTTTGTTTATCCATTCATCTGTTGATAGACACTTGGGTTGTTTCCACCTTCCCACTACTGTGAATAGTACTGTTATGAACATTGGTAAACACATATCTGTTTGAATCCCTTTGTTTTAAAGGAGTGAAATTGCTGAGTCATATGGTAATTCTAGATTTAACTTTTTGAGGAACGACTGAACTGTTTTCCGAAGCAGCTGCACCATTTTACATTCCCACTAGCAATGCACAAGGATTCCAATTTTCTTTGTTTTTAATTATGGCCATCCCAGTAGGTGTGAAACAGTATCTTATGGTTTTTACTGAAAATTCTCTAATGATTAGGATGTTGAGCATCTTTTCATGTGCTTATTGGCCATTTGTATGTCTTTGGGGAAATGTCTGTTCAGGTCCTTTGCCCATTTTTAAATTGGGTTGCACCTTTTTTTTGTTATTGAGTTGGAAAATTTCCTCAGACATTCTGAACATGAGACCCTTAATAGATAAATTATTTGCAAATATTTTCTTCCACTCTGTAAATTATCTTTTCACTTTCTTGATAGTATCCTTTGATGCACAAAATTTTTAATTTTAATGAAGTCCAGTTTGTCTGTTTTTTCTTATATTGCCTGTGATATGTTGTTTAAGAAACCATTGTCTGCTGGGCACAGTGATTCAGACCTGTAATGCCAGCACTTTGGGAGGCTTAGGCAGGTGGATCACTTGAACCCAGGAGTTCAAGACCAGCCTCTTTGGTAGGGACCAGCCATCTCTATAGAAAATCCAAAAATTAGGTGTATGTGATGGCATGCACCTGCAGTCCCAGCTACTCAGGAGGTAGGAGGTAGGAGGATTGCTGGGGCTGTGGAGGCTGAGGTTGCAGTGAATCAAGATTGTGCCACTGAAGTCCAGACTGGGTGACAGAGCAAGAGTCTCTGTCAAAAAAAAAAAAAAGAAAGAAAGAAAGAAAGAAAGAAAGAAAGAAAGAAAGAAGAAAGAAAGAAAGGAAAAAAAAAGAAATCATTGTCAAGTTTAAGACTATGCAGATTTGCCCCTATGTTTTCTTCTAAGAATTTTATAATTTCTAAATTTAGATCTTTGACCCATTTTTAGTTAATTTTTGTATATGGTGTAATGTAAGGGTACAAATTCATTCAAAAGACATTCATGTGGATATCCAATTATCCCAAGACCTTTTGTTAAAGAGAGTGTCTTTACCCATTGAATGGCCTTCACACCCATGTCAAAAATCAACTATTTGTTCACATAAGTCAATGTGAGCATTTATTTCTAGGCTCTCAATTCCATTCCACTGTTCTGTATGTTTCTCCTTATCTTGGGATCATATTATTTTGATTATTGTAGCTTTCTAGTAAGTTTTGAACTCAGGAAATATGAGTCTTCCACCTTAGTTTTTTTTCTCAAGATTGTTTTATCTGTTTTAGGTCCCTTGAGATTTCCTATTAATTTTAAGATAGGTTTTTCCATTTCTGCAAGAAACTCCATCTGGAATGTGATACGTATTTCTTTGAATCTGTGTAATCCTTTGAGTAGCATTGTTATTTTAACAACACTAAGCCTTTTAATCCATGCACACAGGATGTATTTTCATTTATTTAGATCTTCCTTAATTTCTTTTAGCAACTTTTATAGTTTTCACTGTATAACACTTGCACTTAATTGTTTGTGTATATTCCTAAATGTTTTGTTTTTTAGATACTATTATAAATTGAATGATTTTCTTTATCTCCTTTTCAGATCAGTCATTGCTAATGTGTAGAAATACAACTGCTTTTTGTATGTTAATTTTGTATCCTTCAACTTTGCCGATTTTGTTTATTCACACTAACATTTTTTTTTTTTTAAGAACACTAGCAGTTTGGGGATATAAGATCATGCAATCTGCAAATAGAGGTAGTCTTACGTCTTCCTTTCCAATTTAAATGACTTTTTTTTCTTTCTCTTGCCTAATTTATCTGGCTAGTACTCCTAATACTATGTTAATTAGAAGTGGCAAAGGTGGGCATCCTTGCCTTGTTCAGTGGGCCTCCTTCAATCAGTTGAAGCCCTTAAGAAAACAAACACTAATGTTTCTCGAAGAACACAGGACTCTCCCCAAGACTGCAACATAGAAACTCTACCTCTCTCTCTAGCCTAGATGGTGAGCCAATTCCTTAAAATCTCTCCCCCACTCTCTCTCGATAGATAGATAGATGATAGATAAATAGACAGATAGATAG